AAGAATAAGTATGCAACAGGTACAAATTTTCATCATCAGATTTTCGCCTTATATTTTACATGGAAAAGGCTATAGTATTTAGTGTAAGACAAAGATTTTACAGTTAATAGGAGAAAGGAAGGTGGGTGAACTGGGAAATGGCCTTGCAGTAGGGGAGAAGTCTGAAACTCTGTGTATCTTTGTGAATATTTACCACATAGATGGAGACTTAATGGTTTACATAATTCCAGATTCCTAGGGGTCATTATGAGGTAATTAAATGTTGCAAAGTATTTTATGGGCCTGAGAGTATTTTATCTTACCTGTTTTCCCAAGAGGTTAAGGGTGTGCTTTATGGGATGGGGTGTATGTTACCCTCTCCCATAACAAAGAAAAGAAGTAGCTGGGTGTGATGGCACATGCCTGTATTCCCAGTGACTTGGGAGGCTGAGACAGGAAGATTACAAGTTTGAGGCCAGCCTCAGTAACTCAGCAAGGCCCTGTCTCAAAATTAAAAAAAAATAAAAATAAAAAGGGCTAGGGTTGTGGGTCAGTGGTAAAGCACTCCTGGGTTCAATCCCTGATTACCTGCCCCACAAAAAAGAAAAGCAATTGTGACAAATTGAATAAAAAATTTAATGAGCGAATGAAATGTGCCTTGCCATTTAAAAATCAAAAATAAAAAGAAATAACCTTCAAATAAAACTCATTCCAAGTTATCTTTAACAAAACTTCAGCTAGTTTGACTAAATTTAAAATTACATAAAGATTTCAGCATAATATGATTTCAAGTTTTTACCTTCATATTTGATAAATGGAATCACAAATCAGTATTACTAAGTTCTGAACCTTAATTATGATTGAAAAAAAAATTACATTTGTTGTAGAATGTCTAAAATAAATTTTATTTGAAATAAAGATTGTCAACTTAATCTGAGCATGAGCACAGACAGAAAGACATAATAGACTAAAAGACAATGAACTGATGCACAGTATAAAGAGTCAGAGAAGTGGCCCCATATATTTATGCACATATATGGCAGATGACCAGAGTGATATTCAATATTTTTAAAAACTATTGTGAATCACTGTAAACTAAATTATTATAGACCATAAATCCAAAAGAAGGTCTTATGAGGTCTTTTATTTGGAAGGAAGCATGCTTACCCTGATAATTTTTAGCTTAACTTGGGGAAACTAAAAGTTGCATTGATATAGGGAATCCTGCTATGGTACTGGACTGATTTACATGAGTTGCTCAGGCAGGGTGGCTCCCATCCAGGCTGCCACATGTCAACAATACTTGCATTTGGTCTCAATTTCTTCTGATTAAGGTTTGTAAACAGAAGAGGACAACCAAGGCTGGGAAGATAAATCTACCAGAGGGAAGGTAGGTGCTAGATTGGCTAAATGAAAGTGTTCAAGGGTTGGTGAGAAAGAGTTGGTATATCGCAGCAAGTAGCTGCACTGGAAGCCACTCTTAATCCAGCTCCCAAGAGAAGGATCTCTGCTTGATTACCCCATTGCCCTGAAACAGCTGAGTTTAGCAATGCCAGTGATTTCTTACTTGGTAAACAGATGTTCATATGCTGGGCAGCAAAGTGAAAACCAGGAAATGGTCAATATCCCGCTGTGTGCTTTGCAGTGTTTGTGTGTTTTGTAAAGTGGTCTGTTAACCTCTCCTCCCTGGAGGTACAATTCCTAAGGGACTGAGTCGTGATTCCACTTGAGGTTCCTCTATTTAATCTGCCCATTCCACATTACAGAATAAATTAGTTTGGGTTTCTGGCACCTAATAAAATAACTTTTCAGAGCTTTCATAGGTTTTCTTCTAAGCTAAGAATTTTTGTGAACACTGATAGAAGTATTATAAAACTGTTTCTACTTTCTTTTTTTAACATTATTTTTAGTTGTAGATGGACACAATACCTTTATTTTAATTTTTTTTTTTATGTGGAGCTGGGGAATGAACCCAGTGCTTCACACATGCTAGGCAAGCACTCTACCACTGAACCTCAACCCCAGCCCTATTTCTACTTTCAAACAGTTGTTAAATACATAAATTACTTCATCTCTCTGAAAGTTCAAATGGAACAGCCAAACTGAAACAAATAGCAGTTCCTTGATAGCACTCTTACTAGAAATGTTTTTTATTGTAAAGCTACCAAATAGAGGACTAAGTATTTTATAGTTTTCAACAGGTGAGTCTCAATGACAAAGGAGTTATAACACACTTAATAAGATACAGGAGCTAACTAGGTGGGCTTGGATATTTTATTATCTAGTTAAGCATATAATTGCATTTTTCTATGTAATTAGCAATATAATTGAATGTGTAAATTGATACATGTGTTTCCCCATATATGTCATTATAATTAAATATAATCCTTTAAATTGGGGCATTATCTCTCAATAGATAGCCATATATTTCCAAGATTATTATTATTTTTTATTATTGATTCTCTGACAAGGACAAAATATAGGCAATCAAAGTCATGTTTTAATAAATTTAGATATCAAATTAAGTATAATTATATTTTTATTAATTTAGATTAGATTTGTATAAACAATCTAATTGTGTAATCTATTAGTCTATTTTTTATTTATTTATTTTTAATTTTTTATTGTGGGTTGTTCAAAACATTACAAATTTCTTGACATATCATATTCCACACTTTGATTCAAATGGGTTATGAACTCCCACCTTCACCCCATACACAGATTGCAGAATCACATCAGTTACACATCCATTGATTTACAAATTGCCATACTAGTGTCTGTTGTGCTCCACTGCCTTTCCCATCCTCCACCCTCCCCCCTCCCCACCTCTCCCCTCCCCTCCCCTCCTCTCTCTCTACCTCCTCCACTGTATAACCCTGAGGGTCTCCTTCCATTACCATGCAATTTTCCTTCTCTCTCCCTTTCCCTCCCACCTCTCATCCCTGTTAAATGTTAATCTTCTTCTCCTGTTCTTCGTCCCTACACTGTTCTTAGTTACTCTCCTTATATCAAAGAAGACATTTGGCATTTGTTTTTTAGGGATTGGCTAGCTTCACTTAGCATAATCTGCTCTAATGCCATCCATTTCCCTGTAAATTCTATGATTTTGTCATTTTTTAATGCAGAGTAATACTCCATTGTGTATAAATGCCACATTTTTTTTATCCATTCGTCTATTGAAGGGCATCTAGGTTGGTTCCACAGTCTTGCTATTGTGAACTGTGCTGCTATGAACATCGATGTAGCAGTGTCCCTGTAGCATGCTCTTTTTAGGTCTTTAGGGAATAGACCAAGAAGGGGAATAGCTGGGTCAAATGGTGGCTCCATTCCCAGCTTTCCAAGAAATCTCCATACTGCTTTCCAAATTGGCTGCACCAATCTGCAGTCCCACCAGCAATGTACAAGTGTACCCTTTTCCCCACATACTCGCCAGCACTTGTTGTTGTTTGACTTCCTAATGGCTGCCAATCTTACTGGAGTGAGATGGTATCTTAGGGTGGTTTTGATTTGCATTTCTCTGACAGCTAGAGATGTTGAGCATTTTTTCATGTACTTGTTGATTGACTGTATGTCCTCCTCTGAGAAGTGTCTGTTCAGGTCCTTGGCCCATTTGTTGATTGGGTTGTTTGTTTTCTTATTGTCTAATTTTTTGAGTTCTTTGTATACTCTGGATATTAGGGCTCTATCTGAAGTGTGAGGAGTAAAGATTTGTTCCCAGGGTGTAGGCTCCCTATTTACCTCTCTTATTGTTTCTTTAGCTGAGAAAAAACTTTTTAGTTTGAGTAAGTCCCATTTGTTGATTCTAGTTATTAACTTTTGTGCTATGGGTGTCCTATTGAGGAATTTGGAGCCCGACCCCACAGTATGTAGATCGTAGCCAACTTTTTCTTCTATCAGACGGCGTGTCTCTGATTTGATATCAAGCTCCTTGATCCATTTTGAATTAACTTTTGTGCATGGCGAGAGAAAGGGATTCAGTTTCATTTTGTTGCATATGGATTTCCAGTTTTCCCAGCACCATCTTTGTTGAAGATGCTATCCTTCCTCCATTGCATGCTTTTAGCCCCTTTATCAAATATAAGATAGTTGTAGTTTTGTGGATTGGTTTCTGTGTCCTCTATTCTGTACCATTGGTCCACCCGCCTGTTTTGGTACCAGTACCATGCTGTTTTTGTTACTATTGCTCTGTAGTATAGTTTGAAGTCTGGTATCGCTTAAAAGTGATCAACCTCATTACTAGGCTATTGAGAATTAATCCCAGTATTCTGAAAAAGGGATTTTAAAGCACTTGATCAAACTACTGGTTGCTATTATTTTGCACAAATCTTACATAGGGAGGAATGTGTTTAAATCCTGCATTACTTTTTGTTGCTGTTAACTGTGATGCTGGAGATGGAACCCAGAGCCTTGTGCATAATAGACCCATACTCTACCACTGACTTACATCCCCAGCCCCTAAACTTCTTTAAAGGAAATAAAGCCAAGTTTTAGTATTGTCATAAAAAGGGATTTTAAATGGCAATTTATGTGTAAAATTGAAATGTATTTTACATGTTTATTAAGCTGTGTTATTTTTCATCTCTAAATGAGTCTATAAATGCCAGAAAAGTACAATACCTCTTTCCAACTACCAAATGGTAATTTTCATTATGTATGTACTCAATATAGGGTATATACAATGGACACATTGGGGCTATATCATGGGGATTATAAATTCCCTCCTCTGGTCAGCACATAGCTGTGCTTTCTGAAAGAGGGTAACTCTATTATAACTTACATACAGATGGAGCCACAGCAAGGTTAGGCATACACCACTCGGCTCCCATGTTACTTCCCTGTGCAACTACCATAAAATTTACCCACAACTAGTAGAACACTTTGAATATTTTTGAGGATGAGCTCCTTTCCTAGCAACTTGGATACTGAAATTATCTATATTTCTATAGTATTCAGCTGCCTGTACTAGTGACCTCATTACAGTGGCAGGCCATGATAGTAGCATAAACCAGTTCTGTTCTCACCTCTTTGTTGTGCAAGATGATGGCACAGTAGCGTATGTGGATGTCAAACGGAAGATAGTAGAGCTCCAGGTTTGAAGATCCTTTTCCTTCCAGGGAAAGATTTTGTACAGAGCAGAAGAACTCTCTGATGAAATTGGATTTAATTGCTACCAAAACATGACACAGAGCTAGTTGATATATGATATTATAACTGCTATTCAAATAAAGGAGCTGCTTAAATTAGTATGCATTTTGGGATCTATAGGATATTTATAACATTAGAACACAGAATTAGAAGATGATACATTATATTTTTAAATGAAAGTACGGGTGACTCCAGGTCAAGCAGGTTATAACAAAATGGATAATGATGACCCCCTATATTAAAAATTTCTTAACAAAAGGAACTTCACTACTATTTAAAATTAATCTGGCTACACATAGAATCACTCATGAATCTCCAACTTTTTGTGGATTGTTTAATAGTTTATATTACAAAGTGTAACAATTTGAACAGGAAATGAAGGACTGTCTTATATACTGAAATATATACACACTTCTGTTTTTAGTAGTTTTAAAATGAGTCCATTCATTCTTTGTGTAGAGAATCAGACGTGACTGCATGCATGCTTGCAAACGAGCTGCTTTGCAGTCTTTGGTGGAGCTTGCCTGCAAATGGGATGTTCTGCCAAGTGGGCTAGGAGGGCTCTGAGAAAATTTTTATCTGTTCTTAACAAAGAGCAGAACTCAGAATGCTCCAGCCCAAGAGAATTAAGTCATTAGAAGCAGGTTACTTCTGATTAGTAAGTTACTTCTGCATACAATATTTTGCTAGCTTAGAGACCTGAGTCAGTGCTGTTGGAATGCTGCCTTCTTTGTTCACAATACTATAAAAAAACTGCTTTATTCAATAAAGGGGCTTCTTCTTCTTCCTTGCTCATGCTGACTTGCGTTTGAGTTATTTGCGGCACTTTGATACTGCCTTGAATGTGGGGATATGGTGCACCAGCCTTAGTAACATCATCCCAATAAACAGTATGCTAAAATGTGGCAGTGGTGAAGCAATGGGATTTCTGACACTAGGACAGATAATATAATATAATTTTTGCCTAGTTCTCTCACTTTCTTGGATCACTTGCTTTTAGAACCCAGTTTCCGTTCTATGAAGAAGCCTGGGCCACAAGGAAAAGCTACCTGTAAGTGTCCAGGCCAATGGCCCCAATTGAGATCCAGGTCAAAAGGCAGCATTAACAATCAGGCATGTAAATGACAAAGCCTTTGAGATGAGTCAGGTCCCAGTATCCATCTCAAGGGACACCTTGAGAGACCTTGAACTAGAATCATCCAGCTGAGCCCAGTCACTCCCCAAATATGGGAGATAATGACTATAATTTGTTTTCATTGTTTCATACCATTACATTTGGGGTGGTCTGTTCTGTAGCTAGGAATAACCAGAGCTTTCCTATATTGATTTTCCTGTCATTTCTAGACCTACAGTTTTTTCATAAAACAAAGTAAACCTGTGCTATCCTTACAATTCTAAACTTAGTAATATTTGTCAGGTGAGTATGTTTAAGCAGTACAAAATAATCCAAAAGAGACAAAAAAGTCACATATCTAAATACATTCCTTATGCAGTAGAGGGAACTAAAACTTAGTAAAAGGAGAGATGTGGGCAGAATCCCTTACAGGGTTAACAATAGAAAAGGTAGGGAGCCAACACTTCAGCCTCTAATCCTACCTGAGATCCCCAGGGTTTGCCATTCTGACTATAGTTGAAAACATCTCTTGATGAATATTTCATTTTATATTATGCTTTGTGCATAAATGTCAGACATGAAAACCCATAAAAACTTATTTAAGATACTCACAGGTTTTTAAGCCCATTGTGCTATGGGAAGAGTCCTGAGCACCATCACATCCATTGCTAATCACACCATCACCATCACAAGAAAATAGAAAAACAATATCAACAGCAAATAAAAAAAATTCAGAAACAATTATCTATCTTAATTAAATCTTATGGAGCCCTAAAAATTATGACTTCGTACAATATGACATGCAAAGTTCACAGATGTATTTTATATATCATTTCATGCTTATATAGTTTGATAAAGTAAAAGAAAAATAATAAGGGAAACACCAATTGACCATATTTCTACTACTCTTTTAAAAAAATTTGATAAAAATGATACACTTTTACCTTTGTAGGGAAGTAAACATTTGATAATAATAACCCTAAGCCAGAGACTCAAAGAGACAATTTATTTACTTAAAAAGTAAGTAAATAAATACACTCTCCTTTTGGAGTGTTAGAGTGTTTCTATAGCTTGATTACTTGAAAAAAAATAATCTTTTCTAAGTTTATTATTTCCACATTTGGCTTGGGAGGCTAGGGAAGGAGGGCCATGAATTCAAAGCCAGCCTTAGCAACTTAGTGAGGCCCTTAGCAATTTATCAAGAACCTGTCTCAGTATAAAAAAAGAGAAGGAACAGGGAAGTAGTTCAATAGTTAAGTGCCCCTGTGTTCAATCTCTGGTGCCAAAATAATAAATAAATATATGTTTGTGTGTGTGTATGTAAAATTTCCATATTTGCTTCTTTTTAATAATTGGTTACATTTCTAGGAATGAAGTAGCAAATCACAGCTTGAAGCAACTGCCTTCTTTGACAGGTTCTATGTCTTCTAGAACCCTCACCAATTTCCTGCATATTGTACTTCTTTAGTATTCAGGACAACTTTGCTCAACAAGCTGTCAATTAATATTTGGGATCAAACACATTGATTGACTTATTTTTTTTCTGAGAATACAAAAATTTCATAATTACTCACTTTGTCATTTGTTTTCATCTGAGTCAGATGCTCTAAAAATGTACTTTTCAAGTAACATTATCCTAAATACCTCCATTACTTTTTTCCCATTTTTATTTTATGAATAACACTGTCTTTTCATTACATCATACTCAGTGATGTTATTTACCACTTGTAATTGTTCAGTGCTTTTTTTCTACTCACAGGCATTCTGGCTAGCACCTTAGGTACTGTAATGCTTTTTTTAAAAAAAAGTAAAATGCATTTAATATTTTACATAATTTGGGCATTTGATAGACACTTTAATTTAAGGCTGCCATAGACATAATAATAATAGATGGACATTTTACATTCATAAGGAAGACCATACACAGAGTAGAAAGAATAACAAAGAGTGCTTATTATTTCTCCTTATATGGCTCCATTGTCGTCTTTTTGATAATGGAGCTCTCGGTAGAATGCCTGATTAAAATCCACATTTAGTTCAATACTTGCAATTTCTAGTCCTTCAATCATTTTTATCATAGTGTGTAGAAAAGCACACCAATCTGGACTTCATATCCTTTTTCTTTTCCTTGCCTATTTTTTCAGAAACAAGTAATAAAAGTGCCTTTGAAGAAGTCAAGAATTGCCTCATTTCAAAGAAATGTCTCAAACTTGGATAAATTAAGATACCTGTCCTCTTTGTGGTAAAGACAGACAGAAAACTTTGTGGATTTAGAAATTTGTCCTGGCTTCTTCATGAAACAAATGATTATCATGATTGTTAAAGACATCAGAAAATAATTTTATTAAAATTACTAGCTTGTGAAAATTCCATTATACTTGATTAATGTTCCTGAGTCTAGAAAGTCAATGATATACCTAATTTATTTATCCAAACCAGTATCTTGGATATCCTACAGACAAAACAGAAAATAATTAATTTACCTTTTTATTATTCCCTACACATAGATCTATGCAACCATTTTTATACATATTTCAAGATTATGGTTGAAACTACAGTAGAGGGAGCATGTTTAAATGCTTTCTGGTTTTAAGGAAAAATAGCATCAAAAGAGGCTAAAATTATATAAACTTCTGTGATCAAACGATGGAATAGTTCCTGGTAATTCAGGGAGTGAGAGTCAGGGAGTAGAAGCTAGTTTTGAGATGCAAAGGGGTGAAATTTATTTTTTCCTATGCAGTAGTGGTATGTAGCTCTTCTCAAGCTAAAATAATTAAAATGTCATTGGGTTGGTTAGCTTCCAGGCATGAATAAATAGCCCTAAAGATTATTTCCTACTTAAGCCTTTACTAAATGGAAACTCTTTATTGTAGCTTCCACAAAATTACCATAGGGGATTATATTGGGATTGTGTCTAAACCAAATAGCAATATATCTGGTTCAAGTCTAGTTTTCATACATCGTGGAAGGATGTATGAGAGAATCAAGTTTTAGACTCATTCTATCCTCCATGTAATCTAGTAGCTCCTCAAAAATGGGGTGGGGGGATGTCTCAGTGGCCATGTAGAGAACAGTAACAATGGTATGTTTGCTGTTTTTTGTACCATTTTGGCCTCTGAGCAGTTGAAAAATATCTAAAGAAGGGGCCCTAACAGGACGTCTAAGGGTACAGTGGATTTGGAAATTTGAATGGTGAAAATTTCATCTTGATTTCCACTAACTTATAACCAAAGCCAGCCTCAGCAACTTAGTAAGACCCTAAGCAACTCAGTGAGATCCTGTCTCAAAATAAAAACATAAAAAGGGCTAGGGATATGTTTCAGTGGTTAAGTGCCCCTGGGTTCAATCCCTGGTATGGAAAAAATTAAACTAAACTAAACTTAATTGAATTTTTAAAAGATAAGAAACCATAAAAAAGAAAGTTTCTTTACTTATAACTTCAGAGTCCAAGGATTTAATAATTCTAAAACTTTGGATGCAATAAAAGTTATTATAGAATATTATATAAAGTAAACATGCTAAAATTTGAGATACAGAATTACTATTGTGTATTGCAAATCATGAAAGTAGACTCAATTTTGATTTCAAGTTATTTATGCTCACAGATTGCTACAACATTGATTTGCGATCTAACTCTAATTTAATACATAATATATAATTTTTTTCATACGTAATGTGAATAAATTATTTCAAGGGTATTCAGGCAAAGTCTATGACAACAAAACAGCCACTTTATTCAAGAAAAAGCAAGAGACTAAAAAGATAAAAAATATCTAGGAGAACTGTTAACTGAAGTGTTTTCAGCAATATTAATATTCATATCTACAAAGAAAAATTTTTAAAAAATACCTTATTCCTCTTATTATTATGGTATCCATAGTGCTATCTTACAAATCAAAGTATTAATTAATGTTTTATTGTCCACTAAAGCAAAATATGTAAGCAAAACTTTGAATGTCCTACTTAAGCATTTAATTAGCATTCAGTAAAACAATGCAATGAGACAAAAATTGTTTTCTTCTTTAACAACTTTTCTCATAGAATAGCCATTGAATAAATCAAATATAATAGATAAAACCCTTATGTTTTCCCAGAAATATTGATTTAATATATTTAAATATAATTTACCATTGGAAAATAACCTATACTCATTTTAATTTTATCAAAATTTGCAAAAGCACTTTAACAGTTTCTGATGACGTTAACACTGGAAATTCCTATGTTATCAAAACTGCCAATTTCTTGCCTCCTAATACTTTTTTGCCTAAAAAATGACATTGATACTGTCAAGGACTACACAGAGATGAACGAAGGTATAAAATACACTAACATCATAATATTAATGATGAACATACACATGGTTTTCATCAGTAGAGAAACTATTTTCTTTCTGCCATTCTTTAATCTAGATAATACTGTTTAAAACATACTTCATTTTAAACACCTATTATGTAGCTTAAAATAGGTGAGAAATATAAAATAATCTTAACTTTTAAAAAATTATGCTTCTCTATTCAGGACTCAAAGATATTTTTTAACCTAAATAAAGACCTCATGATGTAGGCAGAACAAGTTTAAACACAGTTGATCATAATTATACATGAATTCTGTTTCCAAATTTGCTCATTTGCAAAATTTATGTGTAACCCTAAAATCAACACTCATGGTATTTCACAGTGTTCAAGGACATGTGCAGAGTTCTAGTCAGTGATTGCTCCAATTCCCTATTAAGTCCAAATTCTAGGGCTAGGTGGACAGGTTTTGAATCATTTCCATGGCACCTAGTAGTTGGGCACCATCAGGCAAGTCATTTGTAAAATAAGGAAAATAGAATCTACCAATATGGGTTATTTCTAAGACTCAAGATTATAAACTATGAAATTCTTTCTTCTAGGAGCAAAGGTCCAGTATTCACATTGAGTATTCGTGACAAATTTGTAGAACATGCCTCTCATGAATAATGAAAATATACTGTATTTTATCAAGTGCATATTTATACAGTTTTCTTGCACATAATCCTAGTAACACCTAACATATATTTGAATGAGAGTGTAAATAATGTCAAATAAACATTTTGAATAAATCAAAACTATGGTATAATAAATATAACAAGCTTCCTTGAGTGCTAATATCTCAGAACTTTTACTCAGATACTTTTGAATATAAAATATATAGACATTTACTTGTGGCTCATGTGTTGTCCATATTCAGTTAATTGTGATGGCAAATAGACAAATGTTGTGGATTCCACCAAAATGACACTGAAAAAAATAAAGAATTATTTTCAAATGTATTGCAACAAACTGTAGATGACCCAAAAATATTCTTTTACTTTCTTTCCATCATTCATAAAACATAAAACATTAGGATCAGAATAAACCACAATTTAAGATGTTCATGTTTTCTCATTCTGCAACTAAAAGCATATATGTTAGAAGGTAATGATCTAGAATGGAAATATGTGAAATATTATTTTATACTGAAAATAAATATAATATTCTTTTATATGGAAAGGCAACACTGAATTTTCACAGCAAGGAAATTCAGAACATAAATCACTGCTCAAATTATATTTCAGAAGTAAGCCAAATCACAAACTGGTCTTAAGGCATAGCCAGAATTATATACATTTCACAATTCCTAATCTTATTTCAAAAAAAGAGAAATATATATTTTAGGAATAGACATGTACATGATATATGGGTAGCTAATTAATCATTGAGTTATCAAGATGCAGCTCATTGGTAGAGCTTTTGCCTAGAAGGTACAGGCCCTGGATTCCATGCCCAGCACTCCAAAAAAAAGAATGAAAAAAAATTTACAGAACATTACTGATTATACCATTTTCTGAAATCACATAGCAATGCAATTGTTTTGGTATGACTGTTATAGTTTGAATATGAGGTACCCCTCCAAAACTCCTATGTAAATGCAGGAATGTTAGGAGATAAAAATGATTGGACTATGAGAGCTGTAAGCTAATTAGTCCATCCTTGTTTGAAGGATTAATGCTCCCATTGACTTACCTCCTTCAGCAAAGAAAACCTAAACCTGTAATCTCTGGTATTTGAATTAAGAAACCGTTCTCCCTCCTTCCCAGTTTGGTAAGACCACTACTGCCAAGGACACAGGGCTCCCTCCTCCCCAGGCTTCCATTTGAAGAACTATCTTTCTGGGAGAGTTAGGACTTCAAAATTTCTTATACTTCCCCCATTACATGTTGCTGAAGCCAGGTTCTGGGCAAGTGCAGCTGAGGAGATAAGGGTCTCCCATCTTACACTCAGGCTCCACTCAGGGAACAGAGGTTTTAACCACAGTTGTGGCACTGCTCATAATAATGAGACACCCCCCCACCCCCCCGCCTCAACTGCCCTTATCTCAGCTTGTAAAATGCTGGTTCCACGCTAGGATCAGATATTTTACCCCAGGAAAGAAGCAAGCTTTAAAGCAGATAACTCCTAATCTCCTCCCCAAGGTGCCCATTTCATTCTCAAGAAAGTGATTAGAAGTTCAAGCCAAAGCATGCTTTTAAGACAGGTGGGTTATGATGAAAGGCAATTGGGAGAAGATAGACTCAATAAAAATACCAGCTTAATTGTAGGCCTGTAGGAGAAAACTGTGGAAAGAGAGAGCTAGGAGGAGCCCCTTTAGAGTTATAATAAACTCAAACACTGATTTAGAGAAATATTAATTCAAAAGAGCATGAATTTGATTGGATTAGTCTGAAGAGCAATTTATGTTCCCCTTGGGCATTGGAATTAATGGAGTTTAACGTTTGGGCAGGAAGAGATATGCATCACTAAAATAACCCAGCCAGTCAGTGAAAATGTAGAATATATATTAACAGCCTTGGGGAGACAGAACTAGCCCAAAGCAAGCCCAAATTTGATACAATATATTTTCTAAAATACCCAAATTCCTTAAAAAATTATGAAATATGCAAAGAAATAGAAAAAGAAGCAAGCAACAGAAACTGCTGTTCGAGTGAGAAAAACATTGGATTTAACAGAGAACAAATTCAAAACAGTCATTACAAATATCTTCAAAGGACTAAAGGAAAGTATGATAAAAGAAGTAAAGGAAGATGTGATGACAATGTAGTGCCAAGTAGAAAATACCAATAAAGACTGACACTATCAAAAATAATCAAATAGAAATTATGGAGTTAGAAACCACAAAAATTGATATGGGAAATTCACTGGCAGATTCAACAGTAGATTTGAACTGGCAGAAAAAAAAATAATTAATAAACTTAAAGATTGATGGATTATAAAATCAGAAGAACAGAGACAAAAATGCAGAAAATAAACAGAATTTCACACACAGATGGGAGAGATATACTATAAGAACAATACGTGGGGTAATGGAATTTCATAAAAGAAAGGCAGGAGAAAGGAAAAGAAAAAATGTCCAAAAAGTAAAGTGGGTTAAGAACAAAGCTGGATCAGAAAAAAAAAAAAAAAAAAACAAACAAACAAACTAGAAATGATAAATAAGAAAGCTAATATAAATAAAAACTATAAATATATGAATGTTGTCAGTTATAGGCTTAATTATATCTCCTCAAATTTCATATATTGAAGCCCTAATTCCTACTACCTTAGAATGTGGATGTATTTGGAAATAGAGCCTTTATATAAATGATTAATTCAAAATGAGGCTAAGGTGGATGCTGATCTGATCTGACTAGTGTCCTTATAAGAGGAAGAAATTTGGACACACAGAGAGAGATACCAGAGATACCAGGGGAATTGAGTTACTATTAATTGGAAGCTGATTATGATATGTTAAGAAGTCTATGGTAATACCTACAGTAATCACTAGGGAAACAAATCCACAATATATTTAATATATCATTTAAAAATTAAAATACTACAGTAGAAAATATTCACTAATGTAAAAGAAAGAATTTATGGCACAATGGAGTAAAAAAGAAAGATAAAATATACAGAAAGCCAAATGAAAACTGGCAAAAGTAAATCCACTACATCAATAATAGCAAAAAAATGTGAATGAATTAAGCAACACAAACACATGACTTTTAAAAAGTTTTGCCATTTTCATCAACATGGATGAATCTGGAGAATGTTAGGCTAAATGTAATAAGCCAGTAGGAGAATCACAAATACTGCATGATTTCACATACATGAAGTATATATAATAGTTAAACTCAGAAAAGCAGATATATCATAGTAGTTGCCGGGGACTGGGGGTTTAGGGAAATGGGAAAGCATTGTTGAATGGGTATAAAGTTTCAGTTATATTAGAGGAACTAGGTTTTAAAATCTGCTATTACAACATGGTTCCTATAGTTAACAATATGATATTGTACACCTCAAAATTTGTTAGAAAGATAGATATCATATTAAGTGTTTTTACTACACAAAAAGCAAGGAAGCAAACAAACCTAAGAGTTAAGAGGAAATTTTGGGACATATTGGTTATCTTTACTATTTTGACTGTGGTGACAGTGTCATGGGTATGTGTCACTCATCACTCATCAAATTGTACACATGAAATATGTTAAATTTTTTGTATATGAATTATAATTTAATAAATCTAGTTAAACAAACAAACAAAACCCTAAGAACCAAAAATGCATGCTGGCTATAGGAGGCATACTTAGATTCAGGATATAAATAAATCAAAAATAGTAAGGTTAGAAAAAAAATATATAGCACATAGTAATTATAAAAATGCTGGAGTGCTTATACTAATATAAAACATGATAACATTTTTTAAACAATGTAATTATATATGAAGTGAGACCATTTGTAATATCTAAAGGGTCAACTATGAAGCTAAAACAATTATAAATATATACATACCTGACTACAGAATACCAAAGTACAGAAAGCAAAAACTGGCATATATGGAAAAATAGTCAATAATAATATATATTTAAATATCTCACTTTCAATAATGAAGGAAATATTTAGGCAGAAGGATTACAAGGAAATACAGAGCTTAGAAAATACTATAAACCAACCAACCAGAATGAACAGATACTTGTAGAGTATCACTCAAAAACAGTAGAAAATGGGGCTAGGGTTGTGGCTCAGTGGTAGAGCGCTTGCCTAGCATGTGTGAAGCACTGGGTTCGATTCTTAGCACTGCATATAAATAAATGAATAAAATGAAGGTCCATCAACAACTAAAGATATATATATATATAAATAATTTTTAAATAAACAGTAGAAAACATACTGCTCTTGTGAACATTCTATGTTACAAATCTAATGGTAGGCCATGAGATAATCCTTGATCAAATTGAAGAAATACAAAATATGTTCTCTGGCTAAAATGAAATAAAATTAAAAATCAATACAGAAAGAAATTTGGAAATTCACAAATATGGGAAAATTAAAGAACCTACCCTCAAAAAATAGTAAGTTCGGAATAAGTCAAAAGTAAAATTAGAAAGCACCTTTAGATTAGCAAAATTAAACTCAAAATACACAAAAAGTGAGATGTTGTTCAAGCAGTGTCCAGAGTAAAATATATAGATACAAATGCACATATGAATAAAGAAGAAAGATTTAAAATAATAACGCTAACTTTTTACATTAAGAAACTAGGAAAATAACAAAAAGTCTAAACCCAAATCAGACAGAAGAAAATAAGTAATAACAGAAAAAAAATAAATGTTAGTGAGGAAATGAAATAGGAAATAGAAAAATAATATACAACACCAAGGAAATCAGGGGTTTCTTTGAAAAGATCAATAAGATAACAAGTTTAAATTTATATAGATTGATCAAGAATGAAAGAAGAATCAAATTAGTAAAATGAATGATGGAATAAGGGAAACCATATTTATTTGACAAATAATAAAAAGATTATAACAGAATACTATGAAAACCTCCATGCCAATGAGTTACATAACTTAAAAAAATATACAAATTCCTAGAATGAAGCAAAGTACAAAAACTTATTCAACAAGAAATAGGAATTCTGAATAGGCTCATAAGAAACAGAAGAAATCAGTAATGAAATAAACTTCCCACAAAGCAGAGCCCAGAATCAAAGGGCTTCAGTTGTGAATTCTACCAAACATTAAAACAATTAATACCAATCTTCACAAACTCTTCCAAAAAATAGAATACAAAGGAACATTTCCCAATTCATTCTCTAAGGGTAGTATTAATTATGTGAAAAACAGAGACATCACAAGAAAAGGGAAAAATCACTGCTAAATGTCATAATATGAAGACAAAATCCTCAACAAGATACTGACAAAACGAATCTTAATCATGCTTTTGAAAGTATTATGGAGTATTAAATAGTGGTGTTTTGTGAAAGAAAAATTTTAAAACCTCCAATCTTGTAGACAGTCACGGAGTCAGAAACCTAGCCAACTAACCCTATCTCTGTTAAATCTATGCTAGACTGCATTGAAGGTTAAAAATAACGATAACGTACAATGAAAATTGATTGAATTCAGTCATTGTGCTAACTATAATTTTGGGGAATGCATATGGAGATATTTCATTTTAAAGTATGTTAAATATGAGATTTTAATATTTTTTTAATTATTAAATTTCATTTTTTTAGTATAACTAAAATTTAATATAACTAAAAAATGATCATTTTTTCAATATAACTTGAAAAAGATCACTTGTTATACTGGTTATAACTCTAAAATAGTCTCTATGATTAATTGGCATTAAATTTCTTTCTTATTTATTTTCTTTAATTATTTTTATATTTTGCACATAATACATGGCTATTTTTGATTTTTGATTGCTTTTAAATGTTTCAGTTTATTTCACAGTTGTCTAAGTTTGAGAGCATATTCATTCAAGGAAGGATGGAGTAAAAATAATATGAATTTTTTTGCTCTGAACCAAACCACACACCTCTCACAGTCATTTTAATTTAACCTAAGAGAAACCATAAAGACATATTAAAATATCATCAGTTTTTTGTGAAATATGTTTCTTTTATTCTTCTTATTTCTGGAAAATTCAAATTTAACACTAGAATGAAAGATGAAATATGCTTTATCCTGTTTATTTTTTTTTTCTGAAGGACTGCATCCATTTGGTTCAATTAAGGGCATATTTTAATACTGGATTAACACCACATATTCACTTTTTATATTCTTTACACTCCAACATAACACTTTCATAAAATTTCAGTCTATAATATTCTCCCTTATATGCACATGAAAACCATAAACATACCAGTAACTTTTTCTACATAACAAATTTTGTTTTGTCAACAATGACTGATCTTATTAATAATAAAATACCAAAAAGGCTTGACAGACAATGATTAGAGAAATGGAAAATTATCAAATGTTAAATATAAGTATGTATATATATTTGTGTATATGTCTGGAATAATGAGTCCCTAATTTAATCAGTACATGAGGCGTATCATTTTTCATATTCTCCCACAACATGTAAACTTTTAAGTAGTAATGTTTTGTTTTGTTTTGTTTTTTTAAATATTTATTTTTTAGTTATAGATGGACACAATATCTTTATGTGGTGCTGAGGATCGAACCCAGTGCCTCAGGCATGTTAGGTGAGCACTCTACCTCTGAGCCACAATCCCAGCCCCGGTAGTAATGTTTTTATTGTGTCTTTAAATAATAGTAAAGAATTTTCTTTTCATTGCAAATTTTTGTTGTTATCATTAAAACTCAAGACAGACACATGCACATTGAATGTACAGTATAAATTAATCCTGATGCTTCAAGCAAAAATATATTTTTAATGTAATCAATATTTCAGTTTTGGATATTAGCAGATGCAATAGAATTAGATACAAAGAGTCTATTAATTCAAAAATTTTAAAAAATTAAAAGAACACCAAATCCGAATAAACAGAAAGCTTATAGACAAAATTTTTAAACTTGTATGATCAAGTACCAGTTCAAGAAAAAAATTATTTATTTTCATTATTTGTTCTATTTTATATGATGATGCTTATAAGTTTATAGGAATATAAACACATTTAATTATTTAATTTCTTTTCAAAATGGTTCGTGTAAAAAAGGTAAAGAATACTAGATAGTCCTTTTAAGAGTGAAAATAGCTAATTGCAATAAATTTACACCCACCAATAACTTACCTAAAGTCTCCAGCAGTCGGGAAGGGGTTTTTCACATTTATAATAACTTCCTTCCATTGATAACATGGAGTTTTGCATTTCAGAATTTCCTAAAGTAAAAAGAAATAAAGCATACTATATGATAATATCAAAAAATCCTTAATTATACATAATATGAAGTTAAAATCTACAAATTGTCCATTTAAATATTAAACTGACGCTAATTTATTAAATTCTCCTTATCCCATAAATATTATACTGCTAAAATCTGGGTGGAAAGGATAAAAATATATTTAATCTCAATAATGATCCATAGTATTATGCTAAAATTAAACCATTTGTCAAAGCAGTGTTTCTCAAATTGATCTCTTTAAAATTGGTTTGTTAATGACTGGACATGGTTTCTATTTTCAAATAATCAGTCATACACACACACACACACACACACACACATTTATATATATGGCTCCATAAGGCAGAGACAGCTGTGCTGTGGATGTGCATGTGGGGATAAATATCTGTGTATAAGACTATATGTGAGTATGACATGTCTGCATTTATAATGTGGTGGCAACACTTACATTTATATTGTAATAAAAGCACATATACAAAATAAAAACTTCAAATTATCCAAGGGAATTTCATAAAGTAGAATTTTCTGGAAATTTTCATTTTTAAGCTGATTATGTTATTGACCTATTTTATTTCTATATTATTATCTAATTTACTTCTAAGTTTTCTAAGACCATAGTGAACAGATGGGGAAGTAACCAGAGTTTCACGACCTTCAAGTGTCAGCTTTTCTCCCCTGAGGTAACATTAATGACAGGCTAAAACTAGCCATGTCTTTAACCACATATGGCAGAGCATTATGCTGTTTCAGAGACTTTATGTGGGAGAGTTGGAAAGTATTAAGCATTCATTATTTAAAAGGAAATCAGAAGACAAGAACATATATCTTGGTGACAAATGCCCACTTCCTGTTCTGGGCATCACTGTCTAATGAGCCTGTCTGTCCATGTGAGCAACTTCTTGTTCTCCACACACAACTTGCCACTAATTGAGTCTCCTAGAGTGAGTGTCTTTTTCCCAATCTTATTTTGCATCCCCCAAATTCTTTGTCATCCATAGGACAATCTGGCGATAATAAATTTGCTTGTTCTTTACCATATACCCATGGTAGAAAATAAGATAATGGTTAAGAAAGGCAATCATTAACAATATCACAGCCATTTTATAAAAATGTAAAAATCATTCTCCCCCATCCTTTGAGGTATAAACACTTTGAACTCTGTTAAGAACATCATCACCTTTCAATAAATGCCAGCATTAGCATTAACTTTTACAATGGATTTTTTCCACAAGACAGTCCAGACAAATTAATAATGTTCCTGTCAGAGAAAATAAGAATCTTTTTTTGATGCATAAACTCTCCACCCTTAGTCTAAAAAATCCCATAAACACAGGCCCAGAGCTGCTTTAACTTAAATCACAAGTCTTCAGAGCAAAAGGAAGATCTCAAGGATCAAGAGCTACATAGAAATAAAACATGGAAGAACATCTATGGTCATGACATGCCAGGGTTGGGAAACAGAAGCAAGGATATACAAAAATAAGTAAAATTTACTTACAATTGCTTTAAAATCAAGGACTTCACCTTTTAGAGTAAAAGTCATTGTAACACCTCCTATTCGACACTTAGGTTTAGAAATTAAGAGCAGTGAAGCTTCAGCAGGATGGAGGAAGCGACTGGTAAATTTCAGAGTGATATTAATTTGGTTTCTATAATTAATAAAAGAAAATAGTTTATTGAAAAAGGCAAGAAGTATTTTATTCAGTGTAGAACATGTGCTTACACCCCTAGACTCTAAATATATTTACTTTTACAAAAGATATAGAGGCTGTTGAAGTCTTGATACAGCCTCTAAAATCTAAATTTACCTCCCAAATGTATGTATAATATGCCAAATATTAGATTTTGTAACAGTGCTCCACAGGAAATCATCTATGCATTTTTGTACAAAATTCTTAGTTCATTGTTTGCTAATGTTTAGCCAAATTCATAGTCATGTCATTTGGTTTTGTTTACGTGGAGAAAAAAAATAACAATTTAAAAAATACCTAAAGCCATGGTTGCAAATAAAATTTGAAGTTCAAATTCACATGTTTCAGAGGAATATTCAATTTAAAGAAAGAATAAAGAAAATATGCCAATTCCCCTTAATCTTTACCTCTGTAGTATAAAATATGGCATAATGCAAAGAGTCTACAAATTTGGAGAAATTTCTATTTATCAATTTGTAGGAAAATTACTATAGCATGGCACTCTAGCAAACTTGCATGCCTCCATATTGGAGACACATATGTGTGGCCTAACTGCAGCTGACATAAGACTTAGGAGAAAGCCCCATGAACTTGCCACAATGTAATAGTGTGGAGGCTCATGAGGAGCTGCTGTCAGAACATTTCTCAATTGCCTCCCTAACTCCCCAAACAAATTGTCACCAGTCAGTTTCTCATTGCCTCCTGGATTCTGATGAGGTAGTGAGGTCTGCTACATCACTCCCTTTACAGTTACAGGCTAGGAAAATGCTTAATGGCACCATAAAGTGGGTTCTCACCAACAGGGTGATTTACCGTCCTTGATGCAGTCATCAGATCCCTTTTATCTAGGTGTTACTCTACACAGAGGACATGAAAGACTGGGCACCTTTGAATAGTCTTATGTTTGCTATTTATATAAACAATGAACTCCCTGAATCAAGAATGAAATCACTGTTCCCTTACTGGCTCAATCTTTCAGGCTGGCTTCCCCTTGACACAGCTGTGGGTGATAAATCTTGGGGAAATTTTACCATTGATTTTACTGTAGCTTTTAGCATGGTTAGCATTATACATCAGATGACAGTCATTCCTTTTACAAACTGCTACCTATTATCTTCTCTTACAGTATACTTATTGTAGAATGGAGTGGGGAATAGATTTCCCTTAGTGTTAAACCTTGTACCAACTTCTCTATAAACTTGTGCAATTGCTATTGAATGGGTGAGAATGGGGAGCAGCAAAGAGCATGGTTTTTTTTTTTGAAAGAGTAAGTTTCAAAATCAATAGAAATGTTCTAAAATTGATTTTGTAGGGTAAATTACAACTCACATCTAACAGCAGTAAGGGGGACTTTTATTCAGATATGCGTCCTCACCAATCTCCTTACTTTTATGTAAAAGGACTCATGGGCTTGAACTTAACTGAGAACAAAGAACATTTAATATTGAAGTTTTTTTCTGGGTATGTGCAGGCTCAAATTTCATGTTAGGATTCCTGTGAGTGATTTAGGAATTTTGTAGATATTCTAAAAATCACAATTAGATAAAGCCATTCATTCAATAATTGACTCCCTTGATTGATAATTATAATTTATAATGTTTCAGGCATTGTTTTAGATTTTATGGAATTTAGTAGTTAGAAAACAAACATACTATTCCTGATTTCCTGGATGATACATTATAGAGTACATGGACGATATTGCCACATCACAAAATAAATTTGAAAGTTACGAATCACAGATGTGCCACAAAGTGGTATAACAGTATGCAGTGGTGAGTGAGATACAGCCTGTAGGGTCAGAAGAAGTAATATGTAAGGTGAGATAAAAAAAATGAGATTGAAAAAATCCCAATAACATTCCTCATAGAAATAGAAAAAGCAGTCATGAAATTCATCTGGAAAAATGAGACACCCAGAGTAGCTAAAGCAATCCTTTGCAAGAAGAGTGAAGCAGGTGGCATCAGTGTAACAGACCTTAAACCATACTACTTCTTAAATTATAGAGCTACAATAACAAAACCAGCATGGTATTGGCACCAAAATAGACTGGTAGACCAATGGTACAGAATAGAAGGCACAGAGAAAAACTCACATAAATATAAGCATCTTACATTAGACAATGGCTCCAAAAACATATATTGGAGAAAACATAGCCTCTTCAACAAATGGTGCTGGAAAAACTGGAAATTCATATGCAAAAAAATGAAATTAAACTCCTATCTGTCACCATGCACAAAACTCAACTCAAAGTGGATCAAAGACCTAGGAATTAAAACAGAGACCCTGCACCTAGTAGAAGAAAAAGTAGGCCCAAATCTCCATCATGTTGGATTAGGTCCCAACTTCCTTAATAAGACTCCTATAGAGCAAGAATTAAAGTCAAGAATCAATAAATGGGATGGATTCAAACGCAAAAGCTTCTTCTCAGCAAAAGTGAATAGAGAACCTACAGAATGAGAGCAAATCTTTACCACATGCACATCAGATAGAGCACTAATCTCTAGGATATATAAAGAACTCAAAAATCTTAAAGAACTCAAAAATCTTAACACCAAAGAAACAAATAATCCAATCAATAAATGGGCCAAGGAACTGAAAAGACACTTCTCAGAAGATGATGTACAATCAATCAACAAATATATGAAAAATGTTCAACATCTCTAGCAATTAGAGAAATGCAAATCAAAACTACTATAAGATTTCATCTCATTCCAGTCAGAATGACAGCTATTAAGAATACAAACAACAATAAGTGTTGGCGAGGATGTGGGGAAAAAGGCACACCCATAATTGCTGATGGTACTGCAAATTGGTGCAGCCAATCTGGAAAGCAGTATGGATATTCCTTGCAAAACTGTGAATGGAATCACCATTTGACCCAGTTAGCCCATTCCTCATTTATATCTGAAGAACTTAAAAACAGCATACTACAGGGACACAGCCACATCAATATTTATAGCAGCACAATTCACAATAGCTAAATTGTGGAACCAACCTAGATGCCCTCCAGTAGATGAATGGAAAAAAATGTGGTATATATAAACAATGGAATATTACTCAGCAATAAAATAGAATAAAATCATGGCATTTGCAGATAAATAGATGGATTGGAAAAATATAATGCTAAGTGAAGTTAGCCAATCCCAAAAAAACAAATGCTGAATGTTTTCTCTGATATAAGGAGGCTGATTCATAGTGGGGTTGGGAGGGAGAGCATGGGAGGATTAAATGATCTCCAGATAGGGCAAAGGGGTGGGAGGGGAAGAGAGGGGGCATGGGAGTACAAAAGATGGTGGAATGAGATGCACATCATTACCCTAAGTACATGTGTGAAGACACGAGTGGTGTGACTATACTTTGTATACAACCAGAGATATGAAAAAATATGTTCTATATGTGTATTATGAATGTAATGCATTCTACTGTCATATATGACAAATTAGAAGAAAAAATAAATTTAAAAGTATTTTTAAAAAAGCGAATACAAACAACAATAAGTGTTGACAAGGATGTGGGGAAAAGGGCACACTCTTACATTGCTGGTGGGACTGCAAATTGGTGCAACCAATCTGGAAAGCTGTATGGAGATTCCTTGGAAAACTGGGAATTTGACTCAGCTATCCCACTCCTTGGTTTATACCCAAAGAAATAAAAAACAGCATACTACAGGGACACACCCATATCAATGTTTATAGCAGCACAATTCACAATAGCTAAATTGTGGATCCAACCTAGATAACCTTCAGTAGATGAATGGATAAAGAAAAAGTGATCATATATATATATATATATATATATATATATATATATATATCATGGCATTTACAGGTAAATGGGTGGAGTTGGAGAATATAATGCTAAGTTAAGTAAGCCAATCCCCAAAAAAACAAATGCCGAATGTCTTCTCTGATATAAGGATGCTGATTCATAAGGCGGATGAGGGGGAGCATGGGAGGAACAGACAAACTTTAGATAGGGAAAAGGGGAGGGAAGGGAAGGGAGGGGGCATGGGGGTAGGAAAGATGGTGAAATGAGATGGACATCTTTACCCTAAGTACATATATGAAAACATGAATGGTGTGACTCTACTTTGTGTACAACCAGAGATATGAAAAATTATGCTCTGTTTGTATAATATGAATTGAATTGCATTCTATCATATATAGCAAATTAGAATAAATAAAATGAAATAAATTTTAAAATTGAGATTAAAATCATGGCATTTGCAAATTAGAATACATAAATAAATTTTTAAAAATGAGATTGAATTAGGTATATTGAAGAGAGGAGGAAAGAAGGTAGAATTACAATATATTGGAAGAACTAATCAAAGACCAGTAGCACTAAAGCATAAGGAATGAGGAGATTAGTGATACAAGTTTTAGCTAAGAGAAAGTCATGAAAACCATAAAATTTCATAAAAATGAAAGTATTCCCAATTACGTGAGAGGCCAAGGCTGAATGACCACAAATTCAAGGACAGTTTGGAGAACTTAATGAGACCCTGCCTCAGAATTTTTTTTTTAAAAGGACTAGGGATGTAGCTCAATGGTAGAGTACTTGCCTAGTGTTCAAGAGGCCCTGGATTCCAATACTTAGTACCATATAAAAGTAAAAGCATTCCTTGGACTCTGATGATATACTAGATCTATGATGGGAAGATGGGAAGCTATGAGAATATTTTAAGCAAAGAGTATCATAATTAAATTTACATTAAAATATTTGCCATTCTAATATATAGAATGGCTTGCAAAGAAGCCCTTTAGGAGTCTGTCATGGCAGTCTACATAAAAATGGTCGAAGCATTAAATTAGGGTGGAAGAGGTGTAGAAGAAGAGAAGATGCTAATTTTAAAATAAAATTGGTAAACTTAATAGGACCTGGTAATGTATTGGATCCTTATGGAAATTTATTTTTTAAAAAGGGGGGGTTCAAAAATAACCAAAAAAATATTCAAA